GCCCCTAGCCCCCCCCTGCATCCTGAGCTACCCCCTGCCTGCACACAGCCCCTAGTACCTCTCTCCCTGCATCCTGAGCTACTCCCTGCCTGCACACAGCCCCTAGCCACCCCATCCCTGCACCCTGAGCTACCCCCTTGCCTGCACACAGCCCCTAGTTACCTCCCTCTGCACCCTGAGCTACCCCCTGCCTGCACACAGGCCCTAGTACCCCTCTCCCTGCACCCTGAGTGGCCTGCTAAGGTGAGTCAGGGGATGGAGGTGGCACTCCCTCCCGGACCCCGCCATGTGGAGGTGGCTTGAGCCCCGCTGGCCCCTGCTCCCCCAAATAGAAGTCAAACTACGCCTATGCCCAAGGCCCCTGCCCTGATGCCCCCGCACCCTGCTGGGGCCTGGAGTTTTTATAGCCTGTCAAGAGGGGCCTCAGAGAGAAAAAGGTTGAGAACCCCTGTTTTAGTGAGTACTCAAACTGTGAGTTCACATGCTGGTGCTTTGGGGCATATAAAATTTTTAAAGAAGGGCTTGAAATATTAACTGATACCTAAAGGACTAAACTAACTAGCCAGAGAGGTAGAGAAGAAGACAAAGGTAGGTGTCCAGATTATCAGTCCAGGATCAATGCTTTGGTGAGAAGCCAGTGACTATTTTGAGTTGTCTACCAGACTGCTGTCTCTGGACACTGCTCCTCCACCTTTTCTATCAGTGTCTTGCTAATACAGTAAATTTTGGTAAATGTTAACCTCCACCTCTAGCTACAGGAAGGGAGATGGAGCTTTCTGTTTAATCCTCCCACTTCCCCCATAAGGGAAGAGGCTTTTCATTTTTTTACTTGTCTCCAGATGTCTGCTGCAAGGAGGGTGGTGTGAGGAAGAGGTCTTTCTTCATTACTGTGCCACCTGTCAGCAGTCTCTATATTTTAGGTTCTGCTCCTCAGTGAATAGCTCCAGTTCCTGCCTCTGCTGACATTCGTAGCTTTTCCAACCAGCAGCAGCATTAATCGGAAAAGATTCTTGACAGTTTCACCCTCCTGGGTTCTAAAGACAGCCATGAAACTGAACAAGATCTTTTTAATTTAGCTCTGTAGCTGCACCCAAAAGTTTAGCATCACAAGGGTGTGATCACTTTCAACATCAGCACCTGGGAAGCTCCTTGTTTTAGCTCTGTTGATCCCAGAACGAAATCTGTTTTGCACCATGATTTAGTCGATCTGACTGTGTTGTAAACCATCAGGTGCATGCCATGTTGATCTTCTACTTGCTTTATGTACTCCTAATGTGTTTGCAAGAACCAGATTGTTATAGCTGGCAAACTCCAAAAGTCTCAGTCCTCTCTCATTGGTTACCACATTACAGAAAGGGCCACAATAATCTTGCCAATCTGCCTGTGCGTCAGTACCCACTTTAGCATTCCAATCTCCCTGTACAATCAGGATATCTTTCTTGTGTACCTTATTGATGATGTCTTGGAGCTGATTATAAAAACCTTCAATTTGCTCATCGTCATAGTCTGTTGTAGGGGTGTAGCCTTGTACCATTGTGATATTGAACGGTACTGCCTTTAGACGGATGGAAATAAGCCTGCTGGATATTGGGTGGTATCCTAATACTGAATTCTTGATATCCTTATGCACAAGAAATCCTATGCCGTTAACATTGATACACTCTTCACTGTAGTAGAGTACCTGGCCTTCTTCCATTCGTGCCTCTCCAAAGTTCTTCCATCTGACTTCAGAGACTCCTAGGAGGTGCTAGCTGTATTGTTCCTATTCTGTCCCCTGTGGGTTCAGGGACCGAATAGGACCACTGCTTCTCCTGCATGTCATAAGAGGCGACTGAAAGGGAGCTGCCTGGAGAGGGCTGGACTCCGCCAGGTTAGAAATTTCTCCAAGACACAACATGTGATGAGCAAGTCAGCCATGTCCATACCGGATTGGTCGCAGCCGGTGTAGTTTGATTAGGAGGCGAATATTCAATGCAGTGAGTTCTCTGAACCTGGGGATGACATCCAGCTCTGTCTCTTTACACCTGAACTGCAGGCGATCCTGGAAGAAGTCACATAGAGAAGGGGATAGAAGATTAAGAAAGATCCAATAGTTGAATCAGTAGATCTCTTCTGCCTACTGTTTGTGCTGTTCCTCAGTCCACCATCACATCCCCTGTGTACCCTCTCCCAACACCTGACCTCACATCTGCTGTCTCTGGTTTTATTCTTGTCCGGTTATCTCAGGAAATATTCATGTTGTTTCAAACCTCATCCTAGATAAAGTATAAGCTAGGGGCAAAATCTAGTTGGATTTAAAATGTCATTTCTCATTCCAGAACAATTAAACAAAATATTACACAGCAATGTCATGTGTGACCGTATAATACAAATTTGATTTGTAGTCTACCTATTAGATCAGTTGCGCTTGGCATGTATCATGGTAGGTTATCACCAGGGATCCGAGTTTGCCATGATAACCCCCCCAAAATTCTCCAATTAAAAAGAAACATAAAAATCTGTGGTTTTCCACAATTTAAATGAAATGCTGAACTTTAGTGTCCCTAGCCACAATATAGATAGGTATCGATTGAACACAATATTTTATTGATTATATTTACAATTTTTAAGCTGACAGTCCGAGCCCTGCTGCCTGGGGTTGAGAGCCCAAGCCCCACCCATTCTCCTGATTATCCAATCTGGCCCTTACAAAATGTAAAAACTAAAAATTCTCTGTAAAAACACAAATTCCATGTTTTTCTGTGGCAAACAGATTTATAGGATCCCTTGTATCATTAAACTACTAAATACTATAGGTTCAACTCTTTTCTAGCAAATACCTATGAAGAGAGATCAGTTTGAGAAATATCTGAGTTGTATTAACTGTAAGAGGATACTAAGTGTGAGCTTCCTGTTTTTGAAATGGTGACTGTTGGCTGTACTTAGATGTCTGCCTGCACAGAGGAAAATGGTTTGGATTATTTAAGGGCGCTAAATGACTCCTTTTCTCTTTCCACTTACCCATTTCTTGTTTCAGTATCTTAAATTTCTGGAACAACTTTCGGATAAAATGAAGCTGGACAGCGTTGCATCTGAGATTGGGCTCGATATGAGTCTGGATGCGATTCTGGCCCGTGCAGAGCAGTTGGTCAAACTGGAAAGTGATGCAGTGATTGAAAACAAGACTATGGCACACAACCTACAAAGGAAGGTAGGTAAAGGAGGGCTGAGTTCATCTCCTATCTGTGAAAAAGAAGAGCATTATTATTACTATATTTCATTAAAGTAGTTGCCAGAGGCCCCAATTAAAATTGAAGCCGCACTCTGTACAAACATACAAAGATACAGTCTGTCATCCGAAGAGATGATAAACATGTTTGCAACCCAGAGCAACCAAACTGCATAGTAAAACAACAATAAAAAAGTAGGTCAATTGAACACTTCCTAACACCACTACTGTTCTAGCATACCAAAAATATTTAAATGTAGAAGTATCCTTTCGTTGGCACAGTTTGCAAATCACATTCACTGAAGTTAATAAAACTGAACTAGTACTTTAGTAAATACTTGATCTTTTTGGTATTCTAAACTTTCAGACACAGCTATGATGTCATTGATTGAAATCTGTTACATGTGTGTGGTTTGGCTCAAATACTATCAGCCATCCTACTGTGGTTGAGCTCTTCACCCACTGTTAGGCTAACCTGCAGGATAACACGTTTGGTAACTGTAAAAGCAAGCTCAGGTGTTATGCATGATGGTTAAGTATGTAATCCTATAGGATAGGGTTGGTGTTCTACATGTAAGCAGCAAAATAGAAGGAGCAGTGGAGGTGGCCAGGAAAGTAGTAAGAGGTGCGGTGTAGGGTGATTAGATAGAGCTGAAGTACCAATGTAGGCCAGGGCAGAGTTGCACGGAGCTCTGCAGGAAACAATGAGAAGGTCAGACTTACAGAAATGTGCTTCAGAAGGACCAAACTTACAATGACAATCCATTCATGTGATTGCTGCTAAAGTTGGATGTATGTTTGTTTTTTGTTTTTTGAAATCCCCTTGTTCTCTTAAAACTAGTTGAAAGCTCAGAAAGAAAAGCTTGAGAGCAAAGAGCTGCATATGAACCTTCTGCGGCAGAAAATATCCCAGCTGGAAGAGGAAAAGCAAGTGCGAACAGCCCTCGCTGTGGAGAGAGATGAGGCCAACCTCACCATCAGAAAGTTACAGAAGAAGGTGGAGAGGTTACAGAAGGAGCTGGGCCTGGCAAGAGACTTGAACACTGATCTCAAAGCCAAACTGTCTGACACCAATGAACTGAAAGTGAGTAACATGGTTACATTTTACCGTTTCTGTTTACCAATGGAGGGAGAAGACTGAATACAATTGGAGCTAATTTTATATTATGAATAGTGTTCCACGTTTTCAGCTTTTTTTGTAAAAAATAATTTCAGGAATTTGTTGGTGTTTTCCCAAACATTAAAACCAGGATGAAATGGGGTTAAAAATAATTAAAAAACAGGGAAAAAAGAAAACCAAAAAAAGTTCATAATATACACATTTTACTACAATAAAATTAAAACTTTTTTTTAATGTACAAAGGTATTTTTTGTCTCTCTGAGCTAATAATTTTTTAAGAAATCCTGGTTTGCGTACACTCACATAATTCTGTCTTGGAGGTAGTCCAAGTTTGAAAATAAGCACTCTGTATTAATAGATCCCAGGACTTGGTGTGCCACTTTGCTGAAGTTGGGGAGTGTCTTGATGACTGTTCCAAAAAGCCAGCACATCCAGTTTCACGTTGTTAGGGTGAGGCATGTTCATGTAAGCAGTAAATTCCCTGTTCAGATTTGAAATTTCATCTTTCGTGGCAAATCATTGAAACATTCTAGCATAACGGTCATAGTCTGCTGCAAAATTCACCTTGAGAGGAAGGGGTACAACACCTGGATGACATTTCAAAAAGAATCTTCAGCACCAAACACTTTGGGGTTCAGATTATGGGCCACAGTCATCTCCCATTTTTCGCTGAGCATTGTGTTTGAAGGTTTGGAATGCTTTTTTGGTTTTCTCATGTTGCGGGGTCGGAAGGATTTCCAGAAGCAGCTGGGTTTTTTCGCTGTATGTTTCTCCTGCTACTTTTATGCTTAATTCAGCTGAGATTTTGGTTGTCAGGATCTGGTAATTTTCTGTATTGGCAATCATGTTGACAGTAGTCAGAGAAAACTCCAATGTTTTGTGTGCGTCACACAGTGATTCCAAGTTTTCAACAATGAACATTACCTTGGTGGGCAGAATCTGGCTGTAATTTTGGTTATTTGCCAGTCTCTTCAGAGTTTCTGCTTTAGAACCAACAAATTCAGTATGATCTAGGAGACACATCAACAGTCCACATGTTATTTACATACCAGGCAGTGAAGTACAAACTCATCCACTGATGTGGCATAACGGGTAGGTAATCGGCAGTCGGCTCTGCATTTCGTCTCGCACTGTGTAAAACAAAGCCTTCAGCTTGTTTGCATGCTTGAAAACGACCCTGAATCCAATGATGCAAGATTTCACCTCTTTCATTTCTTCTGTAGCAATAGCTGCTGACAGTGCAATGTTAATCAGGTTAGCAGGACAGGTAATAGGTAGTATCTCCAGTTACTGGTTGAGTTTAATCTCCCATGCAAATTTAGCCATGTAGGAATCAGAATCTGTGTTAGTTGTGGCCACGTTATCCCAAGTTAGTTGGTACATCTCAAACATGTCAGTTATTGCTGCCTCAACAAAATGGGTGTCAGCAGAGGGGATGAATGTCACATCAGCACAAAAGAATGTGGGTTTATTCGCTTTGAAATTAAAAAACAAAAACAAAAGGCCAAAAATCAGACCACCCAAGGCATGAGGAGACTCATCAAAAATCAGCCTAGACACCACATTTCCATCAATTCATTCCATCCGTTTAGATTCTAAAGCAGTTATTTTCTTTCAGATACTTACAAGTGAGGTTGTCTGCATTAGGAAGGGGTTTTGCTGCTGGACAGTATTGTTGCACAAAGTCAACGATAGGCCCCTTAGCAATTAACAGCAGTTGTCCGGTGAAACAAAGTACGCACAAATTCATTGGCACAATCATACTGCGTCCTCTCACTAGGGCTTTAATGAAAGAAAGCTCCTGATATTGACTGTTTATCCAAAAGCTCGCTTTCTTCTTTAAGCTTCTTGTGTCATTTGTTTTCAACTTACTCCTTTATTTTGTCAGCATGAGCACTGACCTCAGTGCTGCAGTACTTGCAGTGCAATGCATCCTCTTCACTCCCGTCTTTTCTTGAAAATTTCTAAGCACTGATTTTCTTGTTGTTCAGGCGTAGATTTGCATGTTCACCCCAGGTTTACCTTATCTTTATCTGTGGAGGACTGGTTGTTTAAATATCAGTGCTGCGCTAAGCACACACAAAGAAATAGGTGGGCAGCATCTCCTTGTGAACCAATCATAGCACAATTCTAACGTTGTTTGATTTTTCCAACCTCAACCTTGAGTGTGTTCTGTGTTTTATGCTGCAGAACTGCTTCAGTCTTAGAGCTGCAGGACACAACAATCGCTTAAAGCATTAGTGTTTAACAAAAATAAGTTTTTTATTAAAAAAAATATATATATATATATATATATATAGAGAGAGAGAGAGAGAGAGAGAGAATTGATAAACATGTGTAAATCAGTAAAAATTGAACTCCTATAATTAAAAAACCTGATAAATTATTGGTGAAAATCAGTAAAAACTGAAAACATGGAACACTAACTATGAAGTATAATAACATATGTTAATAGTGAACTACTGAAATCTGTTTATGTGACAAAGAAAGCAGTATAATAAAGTCAAGAGATCTTTGCAATCTGTCATTGACCTCTAAGTATGTACTACATAGCAGCTGTAAATACAATCCAGAAGACTTGGAGTTAGTGTTATGGGATGTGGAATACCCAACATGGCTACAGTTGAACACATTCCAATGTGTGTTGCTTTAATTGTCCTCAGAAAATCTATTCTATCAAACCTGAGAGAAAAAGTTTTGAACTTAAATGAAACACAGTTTTAGCTTTTCACTAGTTCTGAATTTCTTGTGAAAATGTTTGTTGCTTTACAGTAGCAAAAAGCTATCTTCATCTCAACAGAAAAAAATATATTCTAGAATAGCCAACTTTGCTATAGGGTTCTCATAAATGGCAATGTGAAGAACTTAAGAGTCCTCTTATCATTGATCTTGTAGGTCAAAACTCTAGAACAGACTAGAACCATTGAGGAACTAAACAAGTCTCAAGGCAAGCTGGAAAAGATGAAGGAGAAGGCTGAGAAGCAGCTGATCTGTGTCAAATCAGAACTACAGTTTATGGAGCATGAAGCTAAGGAGGATAAAGAAAGGGCCAGGAGTATGCTAGAAGCAGTTACCAGTGAACTGAAAGCGCTTAAAACAACCCTGGCAGAGGTATCAAAAAGAGAAAGGCAGGTAGGTATAAATATGATAGATAATTGGTAGATGCCATTTGGAAAGTGAGAACTTGGTATCGTGTGTGTGTATGTTAGTATTAAGGTTTTACTGACATGAGTTTGGGATGGCTGCATTATTCATGAGTGGCAAAGTCATCACAGTTATGCAACTCATCCCAAAAGAGTGCCAAATAAGACTTTTTGTGTCACTGTATGCCACTAAGTATTCAGTTTATGCCACGTTTTGGAGAAGTTAGATTAAAAAATACTTTAGAACTCCAACTTCTTTATTATTGGTTCAATTTTTCATATTTATCAGCCAGTAAAACCTAATTACTTTGCCATGTATAGGCGACAGATTCATGGAAAATTCAAAAATATTTTGAAAATATATCAAAGGTAACTTTTTTTTCCCCTCCAACAAACCAGGTGTCAGGACTGGGATGTGGGTGGTCTGCCCTAGTGGTAGAGCCTGAGCAATGCTTGGTGGTTAATTTCAGGGATAGGAGTTGGTAGCCGGAGTCCTGGGCCAAAGCTGAAGTCAAGAATCAATCCAAGGACTAGAGCCAGAGCCTAATTGGAGTCAGGGGTCAGAGCCAGAGTCAAAAACCAGGCAGGGGAGTAGGGCTGGGGGAAGACTGAGGCAGGATCAGAACAGGGCAAGAGCAGATTGGAGCAGAACCGGAGCAAGGCCAGAGCCAAGACTGGATACAAGGCAGGAGCAAGGCTGGGAACAAGGCAGGCAAAGGAAAGATGGCAGTTGTGGGTGTAAGCATTGAGCAGCCAGCAAACTGCTGCTTCTGATGAGCTTAAATGCAGATCTTTTTGTCTCCTTTTAGCCAATTAGGTGGGCCAGCCAATCAGTTCTGCAGCAGCTCAGCTGGGCTCATTAACCTTTAACCTTCCTGAATGCTGAACTGGCTAGTACTAGCCTCTGTCGAGGGAACTCAATGCCATAGTTCCTGACAGTAACCCCCTGTCAGGAGCACCTTCTGGGGCCCTTCACCTGGACTTCTTTCAGATGGACCCAATGAAAATCACATACTAATCTTGATTCATGAATGTTCTCTGCCGGTTCCCGTGATTGGTCATCAGGACCATAGTCGTCCTAGTCCACCAAGCAATTAAACTTGCTCGGAGTCAAGAATCTGTCAGACAAAGTACCCTTCTTGTCCAGGGACTGTTATGGGCAGCAGTGGTGGGTTGGATTGACCAAAGAAGGGGTTATTTAGGTTATGTAAGGTTTTAAGAGAGAGACTTGGAACACTGGATAGGTCTTCATTGACTGTGGTCATTGAAGCTTGAGTGTCACCAGGTTGATCTGCTCAAGAATGTCGAATGGGCCTAAGTATTTGTGAGCCAACTTAGCTGATGGTTGGGTTGATTTCAGATTCTGAGATGATATAAAGACCCTGTCCCTGATACTAAAGTTTGGTGCATCCTGACAGCTGTTATTGTCATAATGCTTGTAGGTTACTTTGGTGGCTTCCAGATGTTCAAAAAGTTCTTGTTGCAGGTGATGCAGTTGGGTGACCAGGGAGTCTGTGGTCAATGCTGCATGAAAGCAGGGATGGAAGCTGCAATTGGCATAGAATGGGCTCTGTCAGGAGGAAGCCTGGATCGAACTGTTGTAGGCCAACTCTGCATAAGGCAGCAGGGAGACCCTATTATGCTGGTCATAATTCAGGAAGCACTAGATGTACTGCTCTAAGATCTGGTTTGGTCTGTCCATTGGTGTGATCTGTGGGTGGTATGCTGATGAGGTAAGGAGTTCTATCAGGAATTTAAAACCTTGTGCCAGAAGCAGTAGACAAATTGTGGGCCTTGATCTGACATGGTGTCAGTCTGTAGTCTGTGGAGCCAGAAAACGTGCTCTAGAAAGAGGCAGGCAGTTTCTGGGTAGTAGAGACTGTGTGAGAATGGACAAAGTGTGCCACCATAGTGAAGAGGTCAACTGCAACTAACACTACTGTACAACTGTGGGAGCAGTGTAAATGTACAGTGAAGTCCAGGGCCATGATGGACCAGCGCTGAGGTGGGTGGGTAGTGGCTGGACAGAGTGACTTCCAGCAAGGGTTCGTGGCTGGTGTAACTGGTTGCTCCAGGAATTAGCTCTGTCCATCAGCAGGGCATCCTCCTGTTGTGGTGTCTCACTCTCCATCGCTGCTTCTCCACCGTCTCCGCTGTCTGTGAGGACCCAGGTTGCTCCTGGACCACGGTATCCTTTTCAGGGCATGGCCCTCTGGCTGTGCCCCAACTCCATTGTCTCCCCCATTCTCGGGGAGTCTACCTCCCCAGCTTCTCCTGCTGCTGGGCCCGCAGGATGTCTCACTCCTGCCGCAGGCTCTCCACTGAGAGGAGCAACCTGTTTCCCTCTTCCAGGGTCTGGGTTCCCACTGTATCCTGTCTGGCTCCCGTGTGGGTTCCCCCCTTTGTTTGGGTCTCCACTGTGGCCTGTCTTGCCCCGCGTGGATTCCCTTATTTATCTGGGGCCCCTCTGCCCCAGACAGTCTCCCTTCTAGGGCCTTGGTCCTCACCACCCCCTCCTTCAGGGCAGTCTCAGATTGAGACTGATCCTCTGGCCTCCCCTTCCTTCTCTGGGGGCAGTGCCATCTTAAATGTCCCTCATTGTGGCAAAGGAAGTACCTCCTGTGCCTTCCTTTGGCCACAGCCCTCCCACAGTTTGTTTCGGGCTTAGCCCTTCCCTCGGGGTTAGCCTAGGCCCTGCGAGTCCCATGGGGCACTCCCTCTTCATGTGCCCAGGCTCCCCACAGGCCCAACAAGTTCAGGGCCCCCCTGTTTACTGCACAAGCAGCGCTTTCCCAGTTCCCTCTTTTTCTGGGTGGGGCCTCTGTGCTCCATCCTGGTAGGAGCATTCCCATTTGTAGTGTCCCTTTCACCCACAGGCATAACAGCCTCCAGCCCCAGGTGCCTGGCCCCCAGTGAGGTCCATGTGCCCTCCCACACAGCAGCTGGAACAGTCCCCATTGCTGCTTGGCGAGCCGGGCCACACAGGCCCTCCAATAATGGTCCACCCCCATTTCTCCACCCTTAGTGTATTTAATCTCTGCAGGAAGCAATAGTCCCACCGTCCTCACTCTCCCCCTTGCAGCAGGGGGGGAACTGGGTGCCCGCATTTTCCACCATGTGTAACGGGTTGTGCTCACCACCATGGCACTTCCTGCTGGTTGCTCCAGGAATTAGCTCTGTCCTTTAGCAAGGCGCCCTCCTCTTGTGGTGTCTCACTCTCTGTCACTGCTTCTCCACCGTCTCCGCTGTCTGTGGGGACCTGTGTTGCTCCCGGACTGCGGCGTCCGCTTCATGGCACGGCCCTCTGGCTCTGCCCCAACTCCGTTGTCTCCCTCCTTCCAGAGGAGCTGGCAGTCCTTCGCCCGTCTTCTCACCACAGTGGTGAACTCCAGCCCCTAGTCCAGCCCCTCGCTCAGGGACAAACTGTAGTCTTTCGGCTGGCCACTTCCCTCAGCGGTCTCTGTAATTTTATTCTTACAAAGTGTGTTATTTTAGTTTTTTGACTGGTCTATGCATTTCATAATTTTTATTTCTCTCTTATGTTTACATTTAATTTTTTGAGTAGTGAGTTCTAAAATGCCTAACCTGTTCCGGCTGGAGAAATTATCCCTATGATAACTTTAAAAAAAAATTATATCTAGGTTTTTTGTTTCTACTGATGGCGCACATCTGCACATTACCTCGATATTGGTGCACATAACAAAAGCATTCTGCACATGGATGGAAAAAATTAGAGGGAACATTGCCAGTGAGTGTTGAGTTGTGACATAATTTCAGAACTTCGAGCCTAGGCTGGCCATCTGGGACATAAATAAGTTCCCTGTGGTAGAGGATCCCATTCTGTAGTCAGAAACCTGAGCTGAGCTGGGCATCTGGCGAAGCTGTGTGGTGAAAAGGTTGTGAGGCAGCAGTGACCGAATGATGGAGATTAGTTTTCTGTCCACAGTCCCCATTGACAAATTTAGATGGCTTGAGAACTGCCAAAAAGGTTCCATGCATGAGTAGACATAATCCTCCTTGTGGATAAGACATCTGCCTTTCTGTTTCTTGTACCTGGGTGGTACATTACAACAAACTCAAATTGGGAAAAGAAAAGTGACCAGCAGATCTGACACTGATTTAAATTACTGGCTCTGTGGAGTTATTCTTAAATTTTTTTTGTGGTCTGTGAGAACTGGAACTGGGCTCCTTCTAGGAGGTGCTGCCATTCTTCAAAAGCTGCCTTAATCACTCTCCCAAGGGTTAATTTTCAGGAATAAAAGGTGCACAGGTGGAAATGGTTATAGGTTATAGGGACCTGTTTGTTGAGATAACATATCTCCCATGGTGAATTTCTATGCAGCAGCCTCCACAATGAAGAGCTTGGGTGGGATCTCGATGGACAAGGATGGCTGCCATGGTGAATGTCTTTTCAGCTAGTCAAAGGTTCACTGTGCCTCAGGTAACTAGACGGAGTTTGTTATAAGAGGCAAGGGGTACCTGTTTGAATGGTAACCTTATTTGAGGCACAATAGTCCTTGCAGAGGCTCAGTGAGCCATCCTTTTGGCCATGAGAAAAAAATGGTGCCCGTACTGGGGACATATATGGGCAGATGAACCCCTTTTCCAGGTCCTCTTGGAGCATTTGCAGCTCGGGCTCTGAGAGGGAGTAAATACGTCCAGAAGGAGGTCAATGGGACAGTCATAGCGACATGAAACTGGAAGGTATCAGCTTTCCTCTTGTTGAAGACATCTGCAAGGTCCTGGATCTTCACTGGAATTGTCAAGGTGAGTGTTGACTGAGTGTCCATTGGACTTATCCCTTCTGTTCTGGGATACACAGAGGGGTAGGGCTTCCCCAGGATTGAACTGCAGATAGCCTCTGGTTTGGGACCAGGTTCAGGGAGAGAGGACCATTGCAATGTGATAAGTAGAAATGAACCGTGCCCATTCTCCAGAAGATATGTGGATCATGAGTAATAAGCCAGGTAATACCAAGGATGACCAGAA